AACTGATTAAACAAGGTGCATGAACATACTATTGAAGTGGAATAGTTAATCAAAACTGATTAAACAAGGTACATGAACATACTACTGAAGTGGAATAGTTAATCAAAACTGATTAAACAAGGTACATGAACATACTATTGAAGTGGAATAGTTAATCAAATTGAAATTAGTTTGACATTTAATAGAAATTATAAATCACTGTAATATGTTGTATTTAAAATATTTTATCCACCAAGAGAAATATGCACTGTTCAGATATGAAGCTAAAGATCTATTTATGATTTATGATGCCCGTCCCCCAAGAAAACAATTTTATAAAGACAAATTTCAAACAATTAAACATATTTACTATTCACCATATGTAAGTGAAGAGTTTACAATAGAACAAGTTACAGAATTAAACATATTTACTAACATCTAACGAAACAATCCACCATATCTAAGTCAAGAGTTTACAATAGAACAAGTTACAGAATTAAACATATTTACTAACATCTAAGGAAACAATCCCCCATATCTAAGTGAAGAGTTTACAACTTAGATGTTAGTAAATATGTTTAATTCTGTAACTTATTCTATTGTAAACTCTTCACTTAGATATGGTGGATTGTTTCCTTAGATGTTAGTAAATATGTTTAATTCTGTAACTTATTCTCCGAAACAATCCACCATATCTAAGTGAAAAGTTTACAATAGAATAAGTTACAGAATAGCTAAGTTTGGTCACAAAAGCTGAATATTAATGGTTAATATGCTTGATACATTAAACAGAAAAATGCTTAATACCTTTTAACATTACATATTTTATTGTATAGTAAATTACACAGGTAGCATGTTTCTTAAGCTGGCAAAAACTGTTTACTGTTTATGTAAATGTAGAATTGGAGCACATCATTTTTTATAAGTTTCTTCACAGGATAAAGTGAAATTAATAATTACTTACTGTTCCATGACAGTAGTTAAGTAATTCAAATCTGTAACTTCATCGTACACTTTGAGTTCAGCATCAGGATGCATGTAGTCTCCAAAAAATAAATTCCTAGAAAAGAAAAAAACAACATCAAATTCCTGATGTAATTCTTTATGTAATAACTCAACTTTTTAAGATTTTTTTAAAAATATAAAAAACAAAATGTTTACACTTCAGAGAACTCTAAGTTAAAATTGAAACAGGAATTTTTAAACCTTTTCACAAAGAAACAGAAAAGGACACAAATAAGACATAGAAAGGCATTAGTAAGAGATTCTTATCATGCAATATTTACAATAATAATGTTTTAATCAATATTTCCAATATAATTATGTACATGATTCTATCAAAACCATGTAACTGGCTTTCACATGTTTAAAAAAAATACATATACAAAAAATTATTCAAATTACTTATGACCCAAATATTCATGTCTGAGCTTCTTTGACTTCTTAGAATGACAATTAAATGATGCTTTAAATATTTTTCTTTGGTATTTTCATTTGGTTTAATTGGTACATAAAAAAAAAACAACATTTTTACTAAAGAGTACGGTGGAAGATGAGTTGTTACAAGATTTTATTCAAAAACGTCATATTACCTAATATGGTCATCTTTCAACTTTCCTGAAGGTGTAAGGTGTGAAAGCACTTTGTCCAGGTTCTGTTTAAAGCAAGACTGTGTCGTGTCCTTGACAATATTGAAGAATGTTTGTCTGCAAGTATAAAAAATTATAAAGAATTGGAATCACACAAACGAACAGGTAACGGAAAATAAAATTCATAATTTTTGACTGTGTTGATTACAATCTCATTTGCCTTATAAATTATAAAATAAATATACCATTAACTCAAATAAGATTTAAAAATAATGTGCTGTAGAAACAATTTATATTTTTTTAATTCATAATATGAAACAGCAAGGTAAAACTGCTTTCAACAAAATGAATAATTTAATACAAACCAGAATGTGAATAACTATATATTTATTAAAACTTACTTTCCACGTTGATATATTCCTGAATTATCAGTTATAAAAAATGATACATTCTTAATACAGGTATCCCTTGATTTACGAATGTTCGGTTTACATTCTTTTGATATAATGTAATTAACTTTTATGTTTTTCAATTTGCATTTTTTGCTATAACAAATATTTTTGTAAAAGTTGGAAGAAAGTTTTGTCCGTTACAAAACAATTTTTCACAATTACGAAATTCAAATAGCTAAAAAGCTACTTTTCTCTGTTATAATATTGAAATAGCATCTATTGAAGCTCAATCACCATCACCCTCTGAATATTGCCAGTAACCGCCGTAGTCTCCCCCTCCTCTCGTTATCTTGACAAGCAGAGCAACAACGGTTTCTTGGCAAGTGTTTTATTAATGAAAATGTCTTATTATTTCAAGTTTTTGTTTGCGTTAATTGTAACAGTGCATGTATTTTATTAATGAAAATGTCTTATTATTTCAGGTTTTTGTTTGCGTTAATTGTAACAGTGCATGTATTTTATTAATGAAAATGTCTTATTATTTCAGGTTTTTGTTTGCGTTAATTGTAACAGTGCATGTATTTCATTAATGAAAATGTTTTATTATTTCAGGTTTTTGTTTGCGTTAATTGTAACAGTGCATGTATTTTTCTTACATAATAGTGGAAGAAAATCTTATGTTAATGTGGCCAGAAATTTTGGGTCAAGAACACATCACCTATTTTGGAAAAGCATTTTCGTTTTATATTACGTTTTCCAGGAAGATATCCCTTTCGTAAATCTGGGATACCTGTACTTATACTGAAAATAGATAAAAATTAATATTAATGGGGAAAATAAAACAATTGTATATTCTTGAAAGATTTGTAACGTAGTAAAATGTCCACACTAGAATGAATATATTACAAACCCAACAGTTTTTACTGAGGTAAAATATTCATACTAGTGAAGAATACAAAAGGAGTGTATATTCTAAACTTAAAATTTTTTACTCTGGTAAAAAGAGTTCACACAAATTGAAAATGTATTTTATACTACAATGAAAACATAGCCTTTACAAGTGTTCTGCCATAACTAATACATCGGGTTAATATAGAACTAGTAGAATGGAAATATTTCAATACAATTTTGTTAAAAGATAGAATTCAGTGAAGTAACAGTTAGACGTTGATTCCACGTGTAATGTTGTTTCTGCTGCTAAACGACTAATCTTTGGTAATTATATATTCACCTACCGATGAACCACTAATCTTTGGTAATTATATATTCACCTACCGATAAACCACTAATCTTTGGTAATTATATATTCACCTATCGATGTTTTTAAAAACATTGCTAAGGTATTTGTAAATGATCTGGAGTTAAAAAATAATGGTTTACCTGTCACTGTCATCAATAAGTCTATCATAAAAAACACGATAGACTTCATGCACCCAAAGTCGCAAAAGTTTGTTAGGATCCTGAAGATGAGAACGCGGTGTTAATAGTACACCTTGAACAACACGAGCAAAGTCTCGAAGGTTGAAAACATAGTGACTTTTGGAAGGAGTAGGTAAGAAATTGTTGATGGCTGCCTTGTAAATATCCTTGATAGCATGAACCAAGGCCTAGATTCATACAATCATCACAAACAATTTCAAATTACATACATATACATTCCTGTATGATTATTTAATTTAAATGTTGAGTCTCAATAAGAAAAATATAATCTTACAAAAAATATGTTACGGTTTCTTTCATGCTACTTCTGTGAAATTCAAATTCCTTAAATACAAAATTTAATTTTCAAGAAGGAAAAGATAATAGTAAGAATATATTCGGCACAAAAACATATACTTTAGCTTTGACTTGAGTATTAAGTTAATTTTTATAAATGATAACCTGTATTTCTTTTTTGTATAATGATGAAAGTTTAACAAACAAAAGGTATAGTTTATGTACTATGTTGTTCTTTATACATGTTGACCTTTATTTTATTTATTTACAAGTATGATACTTTATCAAACACAAGATACAGCTTGGATAACACATTATTCTCAATTAAGATAACCCATACTTTTTATTTATAAGTATAAGACTTCATCAAACACCAGATACAGCTTGGATAACACATTATTCTCAATTAACATAACCCATACTTTTTTTATTTATAAGTATAAGACTTCATCAAACACCAGATACAGCTTGGATAACACATTATTCTCAATTAAGGTAACCCATACTTTTTATTTATAAGTATAAGACTTCATCAAACACCAGATACAGCTTGGATAACGCATTATTCTCAATTAAGATAACCCATACTTTTTATTTTATAAGTATAAGACTTCATCAAACACCAGATACAGCTTGGATACTACATTATTCTCGTAATGATGAAAGAGGTAACAATTCAGAAAACATTTTCAATGATCACAAACTTCACTTATTGATCACTGTTTTTTTTAAAAGAAAGATAATTATAAATACTTGTAAGTAATCACATAAAAACATTCTAGAGATAACATTTTCTTGCACATTTTAATAAGAATGTTTATGAAACAAAAATTTTCCTACAAGATTACCTTTCCCATTCTCAGAACAGCAGTTTCAAATCCTTTTCCAAAGTGCCAATCTACAACTGATGAAAATATTTTTGTCAACGTTTGGTCATCAAACGAGTCAATTGCCACAACATTTAAATGTCGAGTAAAGCGGCCAGAAATATCATTACGGCCACCACCAGGAGGTCCCATCGCTGAAATCAGGAGCTGAAATATTATGAAGTATATATCTATTATTACATTAAATCTTGTTAATTTTCAAATGCTGTCAATATTTTACTATCTTTCTTATAATTTCCTTTTTTTCTTGGACTTCTTCAAGCTGATAATCTTCATTGATTTCCCTCAACTATGATGATTTATAAAATACTTTCAAATTGTTACTCTTATATTTGTTCAAGTTACAAACTTTGAACTTCAAAGTTACTCCAAAATTATTATTTTATACTTAAAAACATTAATTTTACCATAAAAAGAATTAGAAAATGATGAAATTTAATTTCTGATGTCACGAGAAGAAAAATGTAAGATCCCAGCTGTTTAGGAAAATGATCTTTTCTTCTTCAAGATCATCAAAATTGTTCCTTCTCTTTCATCTCATGATCTTTGTTTTTGTGCAATCAACTGTGCTTTTTAAATACGTATAATATTAGTAGGCTTAGCAGAATATTAGTAGGCTTAACAGAATATTAGTAGGCTTAGCAGAATATTAGTAGGCTTAGCAGGATATTAGTAGGCTTAGCAGAATCAGAATGATGTAAGATACAATCACTTTAGTTATTATTCTTGTTCAAAAGTATGCTGCTAGAAGTTAAATGACTAGATAGTTCATGCTTGAAAGGTGAGAGTTATAATCTTCTTCAAGAAACACTTATAACTTGGACAGTTGAAAACAAGTAATATCAAAACTAAGCATGTTGTTGTTGTTATTTGTTATTAGGCACAAAACTACACAATGGGCTATCTGTGATCTGCCCACCACGGGTATATAAACCCAATTTCTAGTAGTATAAGTCTGCAGACATACTGCTGTGCCACTGGGGGGCTCTTAGCATGTTACTTAACTTTTAATGTTTATAAAATAAAGTTTGTTTATGTGAAGAACATCGTAATAAACTTATGATAAAAGGCCTAAGTTTTAACGTTTGTTGTTTGCACAAACACTATGGAATGCAAGGTACCAAACATCTGTTAAAAATAAAATACACACAACGGGTTGCAATTTCATCAGTTAAACTTTGGATTGATTAATTAATAAAATACTTATGGAAATGAAAATAGTGCTACTATTTATCAATCAGTATTGAATGGAATATTCACGGAAAGTAAAGAACGTGACGAAGAAGCTTCACAAGACGAGAAAAATAATTCCAATTAAGCAAAAGTACAAGAACTTGTAAAATTCTGAAAGATACATATGATCCAAGATGGTAAATAAATAGATAATTTTTACATAGAAGCCAGCTCTTATCATTGAAATATTTATCAAGCTTCTCCTTAAACTACCTTAAATTAACTGCATCCACCTCATCCGATAGCAACCCTTTCCAAAGACCAACCACCCTGTTGGAAAAATAAAACTGACTCACCTGAAGATGATTTCTTCCTTAGTCTTACCATTCCCATCATTAAATATGAAAGGAAGATGATTCATCAACACCCAATTTTCTTAACAATCTTATAAAAAATAATTAGATCTCCTCTAACTCTTCTTTTTTCAAGAGTAAACAAGTTCAGAAATTGTAATCTATCCTCATATGATAACCTTTCCATCCAAAGTATCATCCTAACTGCCTTCTTCTGACACATTTCCAACAATTCAATGTCCTTTCTGAGGTAAGGACCCAAGACTGAACATAATACTCCAAATGTGGCCTAACCAATGACATAATAAACTCTTTAGACTTGTGAATTTATTATAATTAAAAGCCATCTGCTATCTATTCGCCCAACTCATCAAATAATCTAAATCCTTTTGTAAGGCAGTAACATCCTCCTCACAGCCAGTAGCACCCAAAACTTTAATGTATTCAACAAATTTGAATAATCTATTATTTATGATCTTTAATGATAAAATAACTTTTTTTTAAATATATAAAAATTCCAACTTAGTGCTTAGAGATTTTAAAATTCCAATGCATAAATAGGATATTAATGACTTACCACATCAATAATCTCAATTTTGGATGTGTCTTTTTTGTCATACCAATGCCCATGGTCCAACAGTTGACGTAGCAACTCAATGGGTGGCTGTGCTCCCCAAGTTTCTTTAGCTGGCATGTTTAGGTCATCAACAAACATGACACATTTCCTTCCCATTCCAGGTCCAAAAACCCCTTTCCGTCGTCTGTGAAGTTTTGAAAACATCGATAAATGACAAATTTTTGGTTTGTTATAAAGCTGTGGTTTAACACTGGAAGCAATTTTTAAAACATGATGGCTGTATTTAAAGATACAGCCATGCAGTTTGAGGTAAACAAATTTTTAATTCACTAATGTGATAAGATCTTATACAAAAAAATGTGATAATAAAACAAAATCAAAATTTTTTTAAAAATACCTTTTCTTGATATATAGCTAATAATATCAAACTTTACACAGATATTCATATTTTATTAATAAAATTTAGACTATTCAACTCGAGTATCTCCTTGAAATACTTAGTGAGAAAATGGTTTTTTAAAAAAGATATTGATTTATCAAAGCCTCAAATGCTATTTATACTAAATTAATATTATTTGTTTTATTTTATATAAAATCAAAGTCCTGTAACAGATTTACCTGTCTAACTTAGACATAATGATGTCCTGTGTTTGTCCAGCAGTAGTTCGAGCAGAGAAATTGATAGAATTTGGAATATACCTGTTAGAACAGAAAACAGTGAGAACTTAGTTTGAATCAATTTCATGTAAAATAATGTCTTTAATCCCATCATAAATACATAACAAATTTCACCTCATCCTAAAACTAACAATGTGGCCCACCCATCATCTTTTTTAAACACATTTTTCAAAACAATTCATGAATCAGTTTTAGGTTTATTATAAAGCTGTAGGTTGACAACGGACTTAATTTTTAATACATGAGAGACATGTTATTTGTATGGGTGTATTTAATTATACAAAAACTCCTTATTATAGCATATCAATCAGGTCTTCTTTAACTCTTGTTTTTTCAAGAGAAAACAATATCTGAGATCTTAACCTAAATAGCGATCATAAATAGTTTTGTAAATCTTCCCCCAGTGTACATACCCTCCCCCCCCCCAATGTATTTTACTTAGAAAACCAGTGGTTTCATCCAGATTTTTTAAGCCCTTTACACTGAGTGCTGTAAATGGTAAAAAACTGAATTAGTTAATATAATGTAATATAATTAAATACTGTTAATGAAGATTGATAGACAAAATAGAATTCAAGATGTAAATAGTTTATTTAAAGAATCTTAAAAAAATATACAATGCATTAACAGTTAAATTTGGCAATCGAAAGGGCATATAAAACCATTTTAAAATTTGTAAATGCTGATTGTATACATCATGGCCAAATTGATTCACTAACTTAACAAAACAATAAAAAATAATATTTCAAATAAAAAGTCATTCTTTTATTATTGTAAGGAGATAATAAGTCTATATATGTTCCCCAGTGGGAGAGCAGTACGTTTACGGACTTACAACATTAAAATCCGGGGGTCTGATTCTCTGCGGTGGACACAGCAGATAGTCCAATGTTACTGTTATAATGCAAACAAACTTACAAATGTAGAAGAATATTTCAAACATTAATTTATCATCATTTTTAAAGAGAAACCGAAGTAAGTTGTCTTGACTATGCATGAAAAACTAATTTATCATTTTACATATATACTTTTAACTAAAACAATAAAAAAAAGTTCCTACTTAATGTTAGAAAATAAAAAATAAAATAACATCTACAATATGTATAACAAATATAGCTCCTGTAGGAAGGAAAACATATATTTATATATTTACATAACAATTCTTTTTCTTATTGCTTACAGAACAGTTGTGAATTAGACTTTGTTGTCTTTTAATCATTAAAAATGTGAAAATGTTAAATTTATCTTTTAAGATGTATAACATGATGGTGACTGCATCATATATAAATTTAACCATACTTTTCCCTAGCTAGATGAATAAGAAAGTTGTTGGTGATGGCTGACTTTCCTGTACCAGTGGGTCCCACAAACAGCATCGGAACTTCATTCATTAGGTAAGTGTTTAAGAAGAACATCTGTCGTACTGTTTCGTCAGTTGGGATGATTAGTTCATTCACCTGAAACATAATTATTATGGTTTCATCAGTTGGGATGATTAGTTCGTTCACCTGAAACATAAATATTACTGTTTTGTCATTGGGATGATTAGTTTGTTCACTTGAAACATAATTATATATATATATATATATATGTAATGCCACAATGGATCCATTCATTACACTAAATACCTACCGAGAAGGATGTAACAAGTATTCACTTGTGATTTGTTACATCTACATCATTATATACATATTCTTTAAAGAATCATTACAGGAAATCAACAATGCAAACAGGGTTTGTTAAGTACAACAATAACAGGTTCTGTTAAGTACAACAATATCAGGTTCTGTTAAGTACAACAATAACAGGTTCTGTTAAGTACAACAATAACAGGTTGTGTTAACTACAACAATAACAGGGTCTGTTAAGTACAACAATAACAGGGTCTGTTAACTATAACAATAACAGATTCTGTTAAGTACAACAATACAATATTTTGTTTTGTCTTCTTCTATATTTAAAAATCTAAAGTATATTTTGAATGTTGAATAAAGTATTATAGTATATTAAGAGGTACTTTCAAAAATTCCATAACCTTACCCTCACATCTGCAGGTAATAAAGTAGAGGCACGATCTAGAGTGTCTATCCATATAACCCAGTCTCGTTTGTGTTTATCAAACATGTAGTCAAACGCTAAACCATTTTCGGGAAAAAGCTGACTTTTTCCAAGCCTGAAACTTTTCGGTTTGGGAAAATTCTCGTTTTCTCCACTTAACAGTAATCGGTACATTTCATCAAATCTTACTCTGCTTTCTGCATCCATGGAACCACCAAAACTCCATAGAACGGCAAACACAAACAGACTTTGAAGTGCTAAAGAAACCTGAATAAAACACAGATTGAAAGCAAAATATCCAGCAGCAATTAAACACCAGAAGTTTATTAACTAAAATTTACTGTAATGAGAGTGAAAAAATTATTTTGCTAAATAACAATTTCTGAATTATCATTATTATATATCACAATATTAAAGCATTGTGTTAACCCCCCCCCCCCCCAAAAAAAAACAACAACACAACAACAACAATAAAATCTGTAATCATTTCATTTATGTGAGGTGCTGCTTTCACTTCTTAAAAACAAAATACATAAAATGTTCTGAAATAATAATCACAGACTATTTGCTAACGTTTAAAAGATGTTGTAAATCATTACTGGACAGTTAAAGTTTCTGTTTGGACATAATAAGAACCTGTTTCGGCCAATTGCTGCAGGAACATAGAGCACTAAACATACAAAAATGTTCATAAAATTCACATTTGATCTAAAATACATAATGAAATAAACTTGAAAGATGAACAAAACTAAATTTTATGTAATAGTTCTATATTGAAAGATCAGTTTCACCCTTGGGTAGCTAGGACATCAGAGAGGGGTGTCTTCAGTGTTATTATTCAGTTTACCCTTGGGTAGCTAGGATGGCAGAGAGGGGTGTCTTCAGTGTTATTATTCAGTTTCACCCTTGGGTAGCTAAGATGGCTGAGAGTGGTGTGTTCAGTGTTATTATTCAGTTTACCCTTGGGTAGCCTGGATATCTGAAAGGGGTGTCTTCAGTGTTATTATTCAGTTTCACCCTTGGGTAGCTAAGATGGCTGAGAGAGGTGTTTTCAGTGTTATTATTCAGTTTACCCTTGGGTAGGCAGGATAGGTGAAAGGGGTGTCTTCAGTGTTATTATTCAGTTTCACCCTTGGGTAGCTAAGATGGCTGAGAGGGGTGTCTTAAGTGTTATTATTCAGTTTCACCCTTGGCTAGCCAGGATAGCTGAGAGGGGTGTTTTCAGTGTTATTATTCAGTTTCACCCTTGGGTAGCTAAGATGGCTGAGAGAGGTGTTTTCAGTGTTATTATTCAGTTTACCCTTGGGTAGCCAGGATAGGTGAAAGGGGTGTTTTCAGTGTTATTATTCAGTTTCACCCTTGGGTAGCCAGGATAGCTGAGAGGGGTGTCTTCAGTGTTATTATTCAGTTTCACCCTTGGGTAGCTAGGACGGCAGAGAGGGGTGTCTTCAAGTGTTATTATTCAGTTTCACCCTTGGGTAGCTAAGATGGCTGAGAGGGGTGTCTTCAGTGTTATTATTCAGTTTCACCCTTGGGTAGCTAGGACAGCAGAGAAGGGTGTTTTCAGTGTTATTATTCAGTTTCACCCTTGGGTAGCCAGGATAGCTGAGAGGGGTGTCTTCAGTGTTATTATCTTATTAAGGTGATGCTGGTCATCTAAATGTTCTGAAAATTAATCTTGAACCATAACTATGTTTGATGCAATTTCACAGGTATTTATCAATACTTTGTCAGTTTTATGTAAAACTGTAGTATTTCATGTAGTATTCTTTCCCTGCAAGAATGTACTCAATTTATTAGCATGCTTTCCCTGCAAGAATGTATTCAACGTATTAGCATGCTTTCCTTGAAAAAGTTTAATTAACTTATCAGCATATAATGACAAATTTATTCATTTTATCAGCACTCTGTTTTACAATTTATCTGTAAAATAAAACAGAAGATTGGTGTACATCAATAGATGTCCTGTTAAAATTAATCAGAAGATTGGTGTACATCAACAGATGTCCTGTTAAAATTAATCAGAAGATTGATGTACATCAACAGATGTCCTGTTAAAATTAATCAGAAGATTGATGTACATCAAGAGATGTCCTGTTAAAACAAATCAGAAGATTGATGTACATCAAGAGATATCTTGTTTTTTTGCACAACAACTATATGATTCACAAGGTACATAAACAATGTCATATAACTGTTAGGGTTCATTTCTTAATTGACACGTAAGCATAACAAAAATCGTGCAAGCTGTAATAACCTCCTGTGCTTTAAAAACATAACATTCACCTCAGCTAAGGTCCAGCTTCTATCAAGTCAACTTACCTCTGATGAAGACATGTCATCTTCATCTATCTGTTTGGTTGATAAACAATCATTCATAAAACAAGAAAAAAGCTTCATGAGAGAGTGTGTCAGGTGAAGATCAGAAGTAGTGACGAGAGTCCTGCACTTGTGATGTAGAAACTCCAAACAAGCTGGAACTAGCCACTCAAACATATCATCTACAGTTTTTTTCTCAAAGTTCAGGTGATCAGGTAAAGACTCTAAGTATGATTCTTTCAAGGGTTTCCAACCCAACTGAAATGATCAGATAGTGGATACCTTGTTTTCATGTCTTGACAACAGATTAATTCATCTGAAGTAACTTTTTTTTTGAAATTTTTAAGCAATTTTAAATTTTCTTTAAATATCTAGCTTGCGTGTATAAAATAACTATAAACATAACTACTTATAAGTTCTGATATATTTTCACAACTACTTTCTTTAAAAAAGTTGTTACAGTACAAATACAGACCTATAAATCAAGAAGTGGCAACCACAACAGCAGAAACAACTTGTGTTT